ACTTTGGGTAAGTGAAGCAAGGATGGAAAGAACACTTGAAATAATTTCAGTGAAAGTTGGAGATTAAAAAAATAAAACTTTTTTATCTCAGTTTTTTCACCAAAAATCTTTGTGTTTTATGAAATTAAATCACTCACCATCAGCTAACTGTTCTACTAGCTGCTTCTATAATTATTTATTTCTTCTTATCTAAAGCCTTTCCATGGCTCCTTCTCACTTTTGTCCCTCATTTTATTTTACCGCCATTTAGAATTCAAGCATTCACCACCCTTTTAGTGCCACCATGTTACATGTTCAGATTATTAAATATGCCCTTCCCACCCAGCCAGCCCTCAAGCTCTTGTTAGGTTCAGAACTAAATCAACTCCTTTCTCTTTTGAAATTCTAAGCACTTCGGGTTCTCTGCTGCTCTCCTTTTGCAAGTTCTATCATTCTGAATTTCCCCTTCTAAAAAAGCTAATCATCATCAAGCCAGGACATAGCTGGCAGTGAACAAAGAAGATGAACTGGCATCAAAAAACAGTCTACACACATGAAGCACAAGTTCTGGGCAAGATAGAGCAGGGGACATGTGGCCAAAAAAATATCACATACATTTAAGTTTCTCTGGAGATATAAAAAATAGGGAGTTGAATGTTTTTGCTAATTGTCTGCCTACAAATTATAGACCAATAGTAATGGAAAGAAGAATGAGCAGAGCCAAGAAGATTTTCATTAGAAGTGAGGAGACAGAAGCAGAGCAAGCTGAGAGGAGACATGGCAATAGGAGGAAAACAGAGAGCTTTGTTGTGTTCTTTTTTCCATTCATACCTTGTAAAAATAACTGATAGAAACTTATAATGTCAGCTCTACAGCATACTGTCATTTTCCCTGGAACACCTTTAGACAAATAAGCTTCTAAAAATGCTTTAATATTAGAATGTTCAGGTAGGATTTGGGGGTGCCCTCCAAGCAATCTTAAAATCATACCACTCCGTAGTTATTTTGCCTATTCCTAAAGATTGGTGTGTACTTATTTTAATTATTTTTCTCCTCTACTAAGGAACTCAATGCATCATAAGTTTGAAATTTTTTTATCCAATGTTTATTTTTAGAAAATCTCTCTCTTAGGAATTTTCTCATAATTTAAATAGCTATACATTTCTTTGAAATAACTTAGATAATAAAGTAGTACTGGAATACTTATAAGATGATAGTTTTTGCACATTGTAATAATATTATGGGGAAAAATATGTAGTTATTTTACCTTAGTAATCACAATGGTAGATACTATTTTTTTTGTAGTAACAGAAAACACTGTGTTCTAAAATATCTAGTGGTTTCTAAATTCAACTATTTCAAATATTCTTCTTTTTTACAGACCATAAAATTGCACGTCTCATTTGCAATTGAATGGTTTGGAGGTTCTCCCAAAGGCAGGTGAGCAAGGCGGGTTGGGGTAGAGACACATCAAATATGTATGTATACTTTTTCATGTTAACTATGTTCCAGAACAGATATGATATAAACCCCACCCATGTCAATATCTGGCTGCTTTTTTCAGGACGACAAATCATCCTTGGCTTTTCTATCGAAAACTACTCCTTTGTTGTTCCTTCCACTCTGCTCTACTTTGAGTTATAAAATTTTCTCTTCCTCCATTTTCCAGAACTGGGCTAACTATCACTTGTGACAGTTAATATCTTTTGTGTCCATTCTTATCTTCCAGACATGAGAACTAAGTCCACAGTAGCAGTTCTCAACTCTAGCTGTCCATCAAAATGCCTTGTCAGAAATCTGGAATACCTTCCTGCCAAAGAGTCACCCCTGAGGGTTCTGATTCCCAGAGAGTCCCTGGTTCCACAGATAATTCTGATACACAACCAAGGTTGAGAAATACTAACACAGGAACACAAATTCTAATTTTAAGGGTATATAAGAATGATAAATAAGTATATATTTACATAAGCAATTATACTCTCCTTATAAAGACTACTGTGCAAATCAGTATCAAAGAAGTTGGCATTTGGCATAGACCTCCTTTAAATTCATTAAGTTACTAATTCCTGGTACACAAGAGAACTCACTCAACCTATCTCCAGTAATACCTTTTGTATCCAGACTTTTTTATATCATAGAAATTACGTTAAGAATGACAAGTATAATTGAAACTGTGTTGGAAGTACTATGTTGTGGGTCAATATCATGTTAGCAGTGTTTTGTGGCCTGGGAAGTTATAGTTCTCTAAGAGTTCTTCAAGTTCTACAATGTGGACTTGAATGGCTAGACGTCCAAGTCTAATTAGCTATAACTACATTGCTCAATACCATAGCCACCAGCTGCATATGACTGTGGAGCACTTGAAATGAAGCTAGCTCAGTGTAAAATATGCAGTGTAAAATATGCAAAAATTTCTAAGACTTCTTAGGAGAAAAGGAAAGAAAATATCTCTAAAGTTTTACGTTGATTATAAATTGAAATAAAAATATTTGTAGATATTGGTTTAAATAAAATGTATTATTAAAATTAATTTCACTTATTTTCTTAATTTTATTAATGTGAGCTATCTGAAAAATTAAAGTTATATGTACCTCACATTATATTTGTGTTGGATAGCACTTGCCTATGATTTTTACAAACTACCCTAACACTTATGACAGATGTCATCTTTTCATAAACCTCATCTTACCCTCTGTCACCAACACCTGATCTACCATAAGTGTAATTATTCTCTATCACTCATTTTATTGAGTTCCTAACTCAATAAGTCATCAAGCGATATTCCACTCATGAATATTTTTTTAAAAACTTAACATTCAAGATTCTCACAAGGCTTCCTAGTCTTTTGTGCCCACAGAGAATAAGAATTCCTGTTAAAGAAATCTGAACACCTCTGTCAAATATATATTTGTAAAGGATTG